GATGCACTAGCATTTGCCTCCTAATACAATCAATAACTTTCATAATTTCTTGAGGATTTCACCTTAAAGTTTCTTTTTTATGAAATGACTTAAGCGTTGACTAGAGCTCAAGAATTAGCCAGATGACGAGGTCTCATCAACGCCTTACTAAACCCTTTAATAGCGTGTGCAGACAAAACTTAGCGCTATCTATAAATTCAGGCAAAACCTGCAATGCTACGTCTGGCATTGCTCCAACGATTACTGTAACAACCGTGTCACGACTGGAACTGCCCGGTAATCCCGTGCAATTGATGTGCCGAGCAAGTGGTGTACCAAAACCGAAGGTGATGTGGCAACGGTTGACGGATGATGACACTCTGGAAGAGATTGACAACGAATCGCACATGGTTTGTTCTGATTCTGAAGATTATGACGTTTCTTTTTTGGGCAACAATGTCAAAATGCAATTTTAGGTGCTCTCAAACGGAGATCTGTTAGTGGTCGCTGATCCATGGGTGGTTACCGAATCGTATCGATGCACAGCACGAAATCCCAGTGGAACCGCAACCGCTGACAGTACTATTGTATATGTTGATCAGAACTGAAGAGACAATCAATGGGCTGCTCGCTGTTTTCGTAACAATTACTAATTGTATTGTCATTACCTTTCTACATCGAATGATCTCACTGTTTGGGAAAACATAAAAATAAAAGTGTCGTTGTTGTTTTGGCATAAATTAAGAAAATTGTGTACCTCTATGACTAAATGATGGTCTTATCTGCAAGTCCGAGCATCTTTTCAAACTTCAAGTTTTTCGTGATCAACATGTACTAAAGGAAATTCTTTTTATCGTTGCATTTAGGTGATAAGTACAATAAACAAGCACTTTTTACCCTTACTGCACAAATCCGAGTCCCTTTAAAACCTCAAATTTTCAACGTTAATTAATTTTAAACGTAGTGAATAACTGTTTCTCTGCTTCTATTAACTTCGTCTTGCAACAGAGAAAGTATACATATTATGATAATATGTCAAAAATTTAAGATTTCAAACGATCTTATTTTTTGTTCAGATATCCCAAAATGAAACTATAATTAAAGAGCAGCGAATATTACAAGACTAAAAACTGAGAATTACGTTTGAAACCAAAAAAAAAACAAGCAGAGAAGGGAAGAGTGCAACGTCATCAAACCTTTTTTGTGCTATAATTCAGAAGTTGTCTACTTTTACTATTGCAGTGGCCATAGCATCCAATGGTAGCTGATCAGGCAATAGATTTGACTTATTGTAAGTATTCACCTAGCTGCTAATTAAGCCTGTAACTGTTGATAGATGCTGATGGTTAAGAAAACGATAGGTTCAGTTTTTGCTAAAACTTTTTTTCCACGATTAAAAACCGGAAAATAGCAAAGAGACCTTTCAACTGGATTGAACTTTTTGAAGGTATGAAAGAGTGCCATGCGCTTTTATAGCCGGTAACAGTGTTAATCATTTTAGCAAAACTATCTGCGAAAGTTCGTGTGTTTTAACCCTTTTCTAAATCCCAAGAGGAACAACGTCTTTATATTTAATCTAATCTTATTTAATCTTTTAAGTCTTATAAAGAAGAAACAGCAGTTATAATGGAATGAAGTTGATAATAATGCGTTCTTGAAAGCAGTGATTGAGTGATTCACGTACGTAATCAAGCTATGAAAATGAAATGAAGAATCTATTCCGAGATCGCAATCACTTTTTATATAGTAGTATATTTTACCTGCACATGATCTTGCTTTCTCAAAATACTTCATTAGACGAATGTTTGAGGGCAG